AATTTTTGCTTTATAAAAACACCAGAGTATCTGGACAACTAACTGAAAATGAAAGTAACCCCTTCCCTATTACTGACACATGGCTGCAATTCAAGTAAGCTCACGTTTCTTGAAGACAGTAAGAACACTTTTTATTTACAGATCCACAGCCAAGTACTAAATCATCTTTCAATAAAATGATTAGCTCTCAAGTTTCAGCAAGATCATTCTCACAGGGATCAGGCCAGCTCTAGCAACAAGCAGCTTCTCGTTCCAACCAGAGAAGATATTCCCACTCATGTATGACAGACAAACTCTCCCATAACACCACGTACTTTAGCAAGCCACCATGCACTGATAATTACAGCGGTGCCCCAAAAGCACCCCACGCATTTCTGCTCCTGGTAGCGTTGCACACCCTTAGCTATGGCAGCACTGCAATGGTAATTATCTGTACAGATCTTCTTCCTTTTGCTTTCTGCTCCTCATATTCCAACTATCCCTTAAGCTGAAGGAACAGCATGAGGCCCTGAGCATGTTTTGAGCTTAAGCACAAAGAATCACAAATTAAGGGCATTTTAGCTCTCCATTGCTGGCCAGGTTAGCATTTCTGTCTCACAGAGAGATTCTTTTTGTTTGCAAAATGATTTTTGTTAGTAAAGTCAATTATCTGTATCCATGTAAAGCACACTTTTAGGAAGGATGCTTTACTCTAAAAGATGCCTCAGCTAACATACAAATGTCACAAAATCAAAAATTAAAAGCATACCCTACCTAACAAGAGTTAAGCAAGGAAAGCAATGCTTTTCAGGAAAAAAAAAAAAAGACAGTTAATATAGACAAAGAATTTGAGATAACTGAAAGCAGTCATTTTCAGAGGCTCTGGCTTTACACCTTCTAATTACACAAAAACTAGATGACATATTTAAAATGCAGTACATCAACTACTGTAGGGATAACAGACGTAAGAGTATTTATATTTCCTATGTGCATCATCCAACTAAAAAGAGTGAATATTTCAGGAAAACCATATGTCAGTCTCAAGAGTATAATACTTTGCTTTCCTCAATTTGTCCTCCAATTATTGTTTTCTTTTTAGACAGCAATGAATAGAATGAATATGAGAAGAAAGTAAGAATGCTGTGAAATTTAATAATAAAACAAAAAGGAAAAGTGCTAACTTTCTAAGCAACTACACTGTTTAAAACAATTACACAATTTCAACAGTAAGCTTTCAAATTTCACTTTGTTCTTCCAGACAAGACATAAAAATTCCACAAATATAAAAAATATCAAAATAAGACACTTTAAAGATGAAATTTAACGTACAATATATATTTAAAATTACAAGGATATTTTAACTAAACGATTTAATAAAACAAGCAATCAGCCATGAGAGAACTTGAAGATTTCTAATTCTCAGAAACAGTCTTGCTAAAAATCCTGACGTTATGACTTCAAGTAGCATTGCATTAAGCAGTTGGTCACCTCAACAAAATGGCACAAGACTGCCACCTTGTGAAAAATTAAAAAAAAAAAAGTCTGATCTGCATTAACAGGATAAAAATCAATTGCCTGTCCCCAGAGACAACAGAATACTTTTTCCTACAGTATTTTTAAGAGAAGTAATCTATCTGATTTATCTACTCACAAGAAAAGTAACAGATTAAAAAGTATTTCAGTATGCATTTATTACTTATGGTGCCAAATTCATGCTAATTTTGAACATGAACACGAGTTGTCAAAGAATTTAAAAGGAATGAAACAGATTGCTCACAGAAAACAGAAAAAACAGTTCACAACATACAGGATTATCAAACAAACTTGTATCTTCCCAAATAACAACCTATTTTTAACTAAAATAAAAACCCAATATGTTCAACTATTTGTCTTTTTTTTTTTCTCGCTTCAAAACAATTCAGCCATGCTGTGGCTGTTCAGCACTCTATTTTTATTATTCTGACAGTTATTGAAAAATCATCTTTCTGTCTAAGAAAATCTGAACCTGAGCCTTTATTTTTAAATAGCAATTATAAAATTGCCAGCTATGCTATTTTTGTTTTCATTTTGGACATTTCAACAAATTAGCATGATTCTTTTCTAAATGGATAGCCAATTAATAAAATTTACAATAAATTATCATTTCAATGCCATCTTAAGTAATTTCATTGCCAAATGACACCTGCTGGGGAATTAACCTAAAGTAAGCAATTACGGTTCTACTGAAACTAGAAGAACTTGGCAACATAAAGCAGGATAAACGTAGTTCTCTCTCTACACGTGTCTTTAAGACAAACAGCTAAAAAATTATGACCTACAAAGGAAATATTTCAGGAACAAATCAATTTTTCAAGATCCTTGCTCCAAGATTATAAAGGATGTTTAACTAATTCTTATATCTAGATTTAAACAATGCTACTGCTACTGATATTTGTAAAATTTCTAAGAGATGTAGATGGAATTTGGAGATGTTTCTTTATGACCAATTATGACAGACTTACAACCATCTAGATTTCTGAGACTGAATCAGGCCAACATTGACTATTAACTGCAAACTCCCTGTGGTTCATCAGCAAAAGTAAAAACATGGCTTTAAAAATAAATTCTCCTTTAATGTTTTAGTAATTCATGGACTTTCTAATTTAAACTTGTATCAACTCAGCCTGCTTTTAAATTAGCAAAATATGTTGAGAATAATTGTACTCTTGAATTAAAATAAATACATACACTGATAAATCCTGTGATAAAATATTATGCCATCTTATAATATGGGTTAAAAAAACTCCAACAGTTCACAGACATCTACATGTAATTTTTCTAGTGTCTTGTGACATGGAGTTCATTAGAAAGGTACTGTGCTCTAAATTTGGAGGGACTTTTGTATTCACTTTTCTTTGCAAAAGAAATACATTAAAATTTTATATATTTAAACTTGGTTCTTTTCACTTGAAACATGGCTGCTATCTCTGTTACGAATAAGTAGGAAGCATAAACACTGTCTTTTAATAGTGTTGATAATCGAAGGCATTCAGATACCAGTATCAATAAACATGCTGGACAAAACAGAACACCTGTGGAGTATGTAAGCACAGGAATTTTTGTATCTTCTCCAGCAAAGGAATGCCAGCTCCCCTACATAAAAGCCAGGGAAAAAAAGCAGATCTAGAAGGCAATTCGGAATTCTAGTCAGGGCCCCATCCCTTCCCATGTTACCATTCCAACTGACTCAGTACTAGTATCTCAGGACACAAATTAAGTTGCACTAAAACAGGCATATGATCTTTACCTTGTTTACATTTTTACTGGCATGGTATACAAAAACAAAATTGGAAGCAGAAGGCATGCAAGACATCCCCCCTGCCCCCAAATTTGTCATACTAAAATCACAACACAAGACAACATGCTGGACTCGGCAAGAACCATGCTGTATTTTTGAAAAGCAACCCAATTCTTGTCTTTTCAAATCGATAAAGCAAATAGGGAGTGATAAAAAATGGGTTTCCCTACGGTACATACATTATCAACAAATTACTATACTGGCAAAAGGTCAAGAAGCAAACAGTGACCTGACAAATGTCTTAAATTCAATACAAATAAACCCGCTCATTGACGAGTGGCTTTAAGGTTTCCTTAGAAGAAACAGGGTTGCAAAGACATTAGACAGGAGAATTTGAGTTAACCACACTTCACAGTATTAGTACAAGGAAGGGATCAGAGCCAGGATCTGTATACTGTAAAAGAAAAAAAAATAACAGTACAGGTGTAAGTAACTCCACAGTACCGACCTTTTGAGAAACAACTCAATTTCAGAGTGACTGGAGTGGCAATAACACAATATGTCTGCATAGATTTGTCTGCAGTATTTTCATTACAGAAAAAGAACTTAAAGATGCTACACAGTATGTGAAGTTTTCGATCTCTCCCACCACATAATTTAGTTTTATTTACAAAACTGCTACCAGTTAACTTGAAGCAATCAAATACTTTTGAGTCTAAAGCCAGTTACTGACAGGAACCATTACAGCTTCTTTTATTCTGATGATAATGCACTAGATGCTTTGAAAAAAATGCACATATACACACCATATTTTACCTTTGTAAATATGTCCTAGTTCATTCAATTTGTACATATATGAAAAACATTTAAAAGAACAATTCAGTAACGTAATTAGTATTTCTTTCAGATTACACCTCAAAGATCTTGGAAACACTCATTTGAACTTGGGAGTGCACTCATATCCTACTTCAATACAAACCCATGAACACAGAACCTCAGGACATAAAAACCTGATCCTTTAAAAGGGTATTTATTACACTACATTCCACTGTGTAACGATATATTTCATTCTGACATACATAAATTACTTCCCTTCTAAGCGGTCACATTATCAACTGTGATTTATCTTTTGCTGTACAATACTGGTTATTCCCCCAAAGAAGGTACATGCACATAGCCTCCACTGTATTTTCTAAATATCAGTTTGAAATAAAATTTTCAAAATGCTCTAATAATTTAAGAGCCTACATACTGCTTACAAAACTAATGTAAGCATTTATTGACAAAAAAACCCATGAAAATTCAGTGGGATGCAGGAGCTTTTGAAAACATTATACTTTAGCAGTGGTTCATACTTTGACCATTAGAAAACCTAGATAGAAGTGGCCTGATCCAAGGAGCAAATACAAACCGAGAGGTAACTAAAAGGTTAAATACTGAAGAGAAACCTCTGAAACATCCACTGTCACACCTTCAAGGGCATGCTGTATCATAATTTATTATAATGAAAAATGACTGTAAACATCTCCCTTATTTCACATTAATTACAGAAAGGTGTTCTCAAATTCCCCCTCATATTGAATTTGCTAATTCCAGGAGCTCACAAATTCAATATATGGAATATCTTCACATCACAGCAGATCAGATCTCACATTCAGTTGCAAGAATGCAAACAAACAGCTTACTTCCCCAATGCCAACTGGGGAAAAAAGTCCTTATATTACACAAAACATAAATGCTTCATTCCAGAGTCCATAGTCCTGAAACAGAACTGGGTTTTCCCGAAGGTATGAAAGTATATTAAAAAAAAAAAAAAATCACCACATAAACCTCTGGATTTCATCACTATTTGGCCATTGGAATGTTCTGTTTAGAAAAAGATGAAAAGTTACAGCATTCACAACAATATAAAAAGCCAACTCCAGAAGCTGTCTATATAGAGATGGAAATGGAATATTGAGCCTATATATTAAGAATGGCAAAATAAAGTAACGAAATTCTAGCAATTTTTGAGGAACTGTGACTGCTAACAAACATACAAAATACATTAAGCTCCAGAATATTGATTTTGATTTCAGTGTATCAGCAAAACTCCAGCCAGCAAACATATAGACTGGAACCAATATGTATTTTACAAGCTTGTGTCTCTGGAAGATTTTTCTCCAGACATAAAATGTATAATGTCTGTTATCTGCTAGTAAATACTTATGAACATAGGTAAATTTCCAGATCAGGAATAAAGAGATGACAGCAATTAGGCTGTACTGCACAGGGTGCTTTCGTAATGACAGAAGGAATTTCCTGATTTTAGTAGGAGTCAATAAATGAGGGAATGAAAAAAAGACAGTAAAGGACAGAAAATAGAACAGCTGAGGGAAGTGCAAACAGGCCTCATGGCTACTTCTGTCACCAACAACTATTCCACCATTGATGAAGACAAAAACAAAGAACATGGTTACTAATATGATGTATGGCCAAGTTAAAGCAGTAAGTGTAACTAAATTTTTAGGTGATATGAGATATTCTATAAGAAACTGCAATATTCTGATGAAATCTGAAAATGATCCTTTCTTGGAAGAAATCTTTTCATCTTTCTTTTTCTGTAACTCTGTCTTCCAGGCTTCATTTAGCTTCTCTGCAACAACATTTCCAGCACAAAAAACTGTCCACACAATATTCGTCTGACGAAACATGAAGCCACAAAATCCAAGCAGAGCTGAAGTTTTATGGTTACCATAAAGGCACATTAAATAGGCAAAGAGAGTAAAAAATACTGATCCTGGGTCTGTATAATAAAGGAATGTAAAAAAATAAAGGGTAGGAAACATTGCAAGACTTAACGTAGACAAGATTTTCTGGAAACCAGACACAGCCTAGAGAAGAAGCAGAAAAACATTGTTAGCAATGTCCAAAAAAATATTAATTAAAAAACCCAAATAAATTGTACCATTCTTAAGAATTCCACTAACACAACATAACATTTCTTAGCTCTTTGGTTCCATATCTGCACACGCATGCATGCTATATTTTTGTTAACCTCCTATGTTAATACAATGTTGGACTATACAATGTGAAAAGATCAATGAAACTACGGAACATTATTGCAGGTGAGCTAAAAATATGGCAATGAAAATACACCAACTTCTTTCATATGTCAGGAGTTCATATATTTGTAGCATTAAAAGCATTCTGGGAGTATAAATGCTTCCATACCTAGGATAAAAGAGCTGCACTAATGGGCAAAAGAAAAAAAACAAAACCAAAAAAAAAAATTTCAGTGTTTTATCTCATCATCAGATTCTGTTTATTTGTACTATTGTCTCTTTTGAAGCCAGTCCACAGAGTGGCCAGTTCCAAGCTTCTGACCTTTGGTGCAGCTTTTATTGTTTATCTTCATTATAATTTATGAGTTAGAAAAGAAACTTTAAAGAAGGTAGGAGACCATGCAGTTAAAAATGCCTCCCAATTATCCCACTCACTACATGATGCAACGCAATTCACATTAACAAGGGTTGCACGACATTTCTGAATGATATAGCGTGGAGTGAAACAACCAGTCACCACCTTACAGAAAAGAGGAACAGAGAGAACACTGAGTTCAAAGAAGTGCCAACAATACAACTACATTTTCTAATGCTTAAGACTACTGTCAAGAAACTTTTTGGTTTCTTACATTTTTATTTCCTCCTCCAACCATAAAATTAAAAGTGTTCCAAAACTGGAAACAATTTACTGAGTTTGACCCAATTCTGTATAGTCTTATAATGTGCTTAAACATGAAGAGTATCCTGTAAGAAAACACATCAGAGGAAATTTTCTTTATAGTAAAGGAATCATTCAGTTATCAGTTAACAGAAAAAAATTCTTATAGTTAAAAAAAAAAATAATGACATTTCTTTAAGGTGAAAGATTTTGAATAGGCCATTAAGCACTGGAACAATTTACCTACTGCAGCAGTGGATGCTCCACCACTTTACATATACCACATTCTTATATCCAAGTTGAACTGTTATGGTCTGGATGGGTGGACAGCTAGACAGGTAAAAACTGGCTGGATGAATAACTGGTCGCACTCTACTCAAACGAGACTAACAACCAGAGTTTTGCAGGGATCTATACTGGGACCTATCCTGTTTAACATCTTTTTTAAATCAATGACCTGAAGGCAGTGAGAGTACACTCTCACCAAGTCTGCAGACAGGACTCTCAACTGAGGGGACCAGGCAATATGCTAAAGAGCAGAGCTGCCATCCAGACCTAGACAGGCTGGAGGAACGGGGCAACAGAAATACTACGAAATTCAACAAGGACAAAGGCAAATGCCTGCACCTGGAAAGGAGGAAATCCCCACAATGACACAGGCTGGACATGGAGTAGCTGAGGAGCTACTGCTCTGCAGAAAGGGATCTGGGGGCCTTGGCACATAATGAGGTGAGCATGAACTGGCAGCATGCCCCAGCACCAAGGAACAGCAACAGCCTCCTGGGCTCCACTAACAAGAGCGTAGCAGCAGATCAAGGGGACTGATTATCCCTCTTTATTTGTTAGGCTGCGCCTAGAATACCACATCCACTTTTGTGCCCTGTGATACAAAAAAGGCACTAGTAAACTGGAGCAATGACAGAGGGCCACCAAGACAGTTGAAGGCTGAAGCACACGCTCCTAGAGAGGTTGAGGGAGCTGGCCTTCTTCAGCCTGGAAAATAAGATGTTTTGTGGGGACTGAACAGTGGCCTACCAATACCTGTGAGGATGTCAACAGATAAAGGGAGCCAGGTGCCTTGAAGTGGTCCACAATGGGAAGACAAGTGACAACAGGCATAAACTGGAATGAGAGCTTCAGACTGGATGCAAGAAAACCCTTTTCACCATGACGCCAGTCAGGCATGAGGTAGGTTGCCCGGAGAGGTTGTGCAGTCACTCTTCATCCCTGGAGTGTTCCAGGCCCCAAACCTGAGCAACCTGGTCTGATCTCAGGGCCTGCCTGCTTTGGGCTGGAGGGTGGACCTCCTAAGGTCCCTTCCAACCTGAATCACTCTCCACTTCTTTCCAACTTGAATTATTCTCTTGTTCTAAATATTGACCTCAAACCTGGTATCTTTCTAAAGAACAGATTTTTGCTTGAAAACAGTTCACAGGGCTTCACTCAGGATTCACTGGTTGAAGTTTTGTGGAATGTCTTAAGCAGTTCCAATCAGATGAGCATTCAGACCTTTGGGCAGTAAGTCTATCTGCATACTAACTTTAACTTTTTTCAGTGGGACTGCTTATAGTTATGCACAAATTTTTAGAGAACTGCACCCTGAGAGAGAAAAGAAAATATTTAAAAAATAGAGAAAAGGAATGTGCTTATGAAACTGAGAACAGCTCACGTATGTAGTGAAGCGCACATACACAGAGCCAATCAAATTCTACTGCAACCGTACCTTATTCTTCTGATGGATCTTGAACAGAAGTAAATACAGTAAATAGAAGTTCCCAGCACTGAAAAGGAGGTTAATAAACCTGAGCATCGCCACAGAGCACACCACGCTTCCCGTCCACCCGAAGAGCCATGCCGCAGGCTTCACTGCTCCCACCGAGACCAGGTACAGGCCTGGCAGCGTGGTGATCATGGGGTCCCACTGGAAAAAGGAGAGAGACAGAGTTACAGACCGCAGAGACGCAGCGACAGACCGCTCCCGCCCAGGCCCCGCTCTGGTATCGAGGATGTCAGCGCGTCCCAGGCACCATTACGGAAATTTCTGAGCGCCCTGTACACCGGCCGGCGCAGTACCGCGCCCCGGCAGG